GCGGCAGCGGCTTAGATGAAAAAACGGAATCTCAAAACACTTTTTTGGTGTTTGAGAATTTTTTTTTTTTTTTTTGGATTTTGTAAATGGTCAAGTCAAAAAAAACGCCTCGGTTGCCAAACGCGTTTCATTGTTTTTTCAAAAAAAATAAAAACGGTAAAAAATACCACTGTTGCCAAACGCTCCCTAAGAAATATAATTTCACTTGCTAAATTACGAAAGAGTCTTAATTAGCATGCATAACATAGATAAGTTCATAAGTTTCCACAAATCACGATGCAAGATAATATCCAACATGAGCAAAAGTCTACGAAACAAAATAAGCAAGTAGCAAAATAACAAAGTGTCTAGTCATCCTCATCATCATCGTCATCCAACTGAAGTGGAATTTCCTCATCATCAGTTTCCTCATCTTCTTCATTGAACTCTTCTTCATCCCCCAAGTCTGGCTTGCTCCTCCTAGATGACGAAGCAATACCACTTGAATGGACTACGGGTAGTTGTCAGTGAACTCCGGTGACGCCTCTGGTCGTTGCGAGTGAGATGGGGGAAGCGGAGATGTGAGAGAGAGAAGAGAGAGGGCGGGAGAGAGAGAAGCAGCCTCAAGACACCGATGCCCTAATTTAGGGATCGGGTCTTCATTTTGGGGTTTTATTTCAAAACGGGTTAAGAAAAGTAGGTTTTCAAACCCAATAACCGCTTACCCAAAGAGGTTGAACTGGAGCAGTGAGGCGCATAGAGGCGTGCGCCACACCAGTGCGCAAGGCGCACCAAGGCGCACATGAGGCGCGCGCCCTGATGCAGTGGAGCGCCCCGAAGCTTCTACGGGGCGCAAACCCATCGGGCCGAAGCGCCTAACGCCTCAGGCGCTCCCGAAGCGGCCGCCTCGATAACACTGTTCTCGAGTTTACCATGATTGCTTTCTGGCTTGAGCTTCTTTTTTTTTCAGATAATTTTCTTCATTAATACAATTTAAGGCATTATTATAATATAGACCCATAGTCCATTTTCATGTTATATGTAGATGCATTAGAAAATAAGTTTAGAACCTTTACCATCTTAAATTTAAGCATGTAACTCTTGAATGACTCAGAAGTATTTGGGTTAATACATTGCAAAAGGCAAAGTGAAACCTTTGGTATCAAATTTTATTGTAATAAAAAAGAAGTTTACGTCAATTTATGTACATACAATTTATAGCATTCAACAAACCTTTTCTGGACTTATACTATGTAAGCATGTTTGTCCTTCACTTGTTTTACTGGTGCAGCTGAGAAATCTAGATTTGGAAGCCTTCTATCAATTGCCCATGTTTCATCAAAAGCAGACAGGCTGTATATGAGGGGTCCAGGAGGGCGTGGGGAAGTTGAAGTGGCTGTCTCTGGAATTGCAGGTAATTGACTTTTTTCTTTCTCGTATTCCTCTCTTTCTTTTCTAGATCTGATGCACATAGGCAGGTACAAGCACCTACGCAGGGCACACAAACTTAGAAGTAGAGAAACCTGATATGGATGAAATTGAGATCAATTTTGTTTCATGGAATTTATAGCTCCGAAGGTATGAGTTGAAGCTCAGCACATAACTAATTAAACATTAGTTTCCAACCTGCAAAGATTATATTATTTTTCAAAAAATTAGAGGCACTTGATCTGTACGAAATCAAGTTTAATCTCAATTCTTAATTTTCATCATTGGAAATAGTTTATACTTGATAGATAGTTGTGCATTGCGATACACTTGATCTATAGCTTCTTTTTTCTCTGTGTATCAACTTTCAATTTTAAGCAACAAGAATTATATATCGAAACTTGAATCTCAAACTGATTTTGTATTTTTAAATATAAAAATTGGTTTCAATCTATTTGCTCTTTACTTCTTACAAAAACATGACTGGATTAGCTTAATGTAGTAATGTTAAAGACACTGGACCGAGAGCCAAGCTCCAGATGGATATTCTTTTTCATCCACTAGCCAAATTTTCGGTCCATCATTGCCACTGTGTCTTTGCCATTGACAACCTCTAATACCACACAGCTTGGTTGTGACTGCACCTCGCCTGCCTCCTCAGTGCTACTACAAGTGGAAAGTGGGACAAAGAGTTAGGGCACCAAGCTCTTAACTCATTTAAGAGAAGCTGCCATACCTAGTCCTGCTTCATTCAAGAGGGAATAAATATCTAAGTTGTTTGAGGTTAACCAACAAAATCAAATGTTTATTTTTAATTTTTTTAAAGTTTATTTTTTGGTGCTGACTATGAACAATTTGAAAGGTTAGTCTGGCTAGTTAACTTTAGCTTTGAGTTGGAAAAACACTAGTAGCTCTCCTTACCTTCTCTGGAGCTAAGTCGCTAGCGTCTGCAAATTTATACTGATCCTCTTTCCAGCATCATTCACGTTATGACCGATTGTTCTTTTCTGTATTGTAGATCAAAGCCTCCAAGACTTCAGCCCACATTCACCTATTCAGATATCTAAAAGAGGTTTGGGAATTGATCTGGGTACCATAGTCCAGAAAGCTTCCATTTTGGCAAAGAATGCTTATGCTGCTGCCTCGTCCCCGAGGAAATCTGACAGAGAAATATTACCTCTCAAATGCTGCTTGATGTCTATTTCTTTGCCCTGGGAACTTATTGCACATGATCTTTTGTTTAAGGTGAGTGTTTTCAGAAATATCTTGGCCCAATTTTTGTAAAATTGAAGGCTATGCACACACACTCCCAAACTCCCGAAGTATTAAAGAAGCAACTTATGCCTTAGCCACATATTCTGTGGGCATCAATTTAAATGTGAAGCTTTCAATGTTTGGTACTTTTCCTCGATGTTTTCAGGGAACTCCTCCAGTGAATTTGTGATTGTTGATCAATTTGTAGCAAAACCCTCCAACAAATCTGGGTCTACTCTCGCCTTCATGACATAGCAATTTGAGGTATGGACTCTGTTGCTACATAAGTAATATTGACTCAGTTATGTGCCATTTGTTCACCAACCAACTGAAGATAATAAGCACTTTCAATAGTCTCCTTCCTGTACATGAAGCGCATAGATAAAAGCAAGTCATTTGGAGTTTCTGTCCCAGGCATGTAACTCACATGCAGTGTAAAGCGATGAAAATCTAGCAATAACCTTTAATTATGAAAAGAAGAAAAGAAGAAAGTGTTATATTCTCATCTCTTTTGCTTGCTTTTTTTATCCTTTTGACAATCAGAAGGGTATATTTGGTTCATGATCAGGATCAGCAGCAATTTTCATGACCTACCCAAATGGTTTATAATATATTTTAGTTTCTGCAGACACTTGCTTTTACAATCAATAAAGACTTGTAATTTGTTTATTTGTAACCTTGCAAACTGATTAGTATGCTAGATCTTTTTAGACTAGACATGACGCCTATTAGAGATATATAGCAGAGTCCATAATAAGAGGTGAAAGTTATTGATTTATTTCAAGCATCATAATATTGGTGCCAGTGATCAAACCATCATTACAAGTTTGTGACCCTGATCAAATCTTCGAACTTAGCAAGAGTTATTCAGGTTCGAATTTGGCTGTGGATCAACACATGTAAAGTTTTACTTGGGCATTGGTATGATGGTTGAGCCTATCTAAATTCCAATATTGGAAGATCACAAACTTCGTCATTAGCATAGGGTCCTGGTTAATTTCTCCCACTTGCCTTTCCCTCTTTGCACAGCTTGGTAACAAACAAAGACCAATATTGAAGGCACAGAAATTAACTTTTTCCTATCCTAGATTTTTTAAACTCCAAATATGTGGTTTTGTCTCGTGGTCTCCTTAGTATTAATTTAAATTTAGATACCTTGCATCAATGATGGGTAGGAAATAAAAAAACGAGAACCGACCTCAGTTGTTATTTATGCCCAGGAAGCGAGCTGCATCATGTGCGTGGACGTGGGTGTATATAAGGTATATATAATACATGTAGTGTATGATGACGTAAGATCACAGTCTGAATTAATATTTAGTCAAATTGAAAGTATAATTCGATGTGTGTAGCGATATCTTTGAAACGAGAAACTATCATCATCTACTAAATTGAAGTTGCATCAAGGACGACCCACAAGTGGATTAGTGCAATACCAGCGAGACTGAGAATTGATATACTAATTTGAAAATTATTCATTTTTTGTGTATCAATCAAGTAATGTACATAGGTCGTCTGACAATGTTTTCCTTTGAAATCGATTAACATTTTCCTAAGTTCTAACAGAAAATCTAAGGACTTATATAATGATGAAGATGGAGTTAATGTCCGAACCTTTTCATGAATGAAAATATATTAAGACAGAATCATCTTTTTTCTCTCTCATGTTTTGTTCATTTGTCGACAATGATGACAATAGTCCATGGATTGTATATTTGAATTGCTTTTAAGTATGCGAATTATGGAGCTCAATGAAGGTGCGTCGTTCTTTGCTTTAAGTTTGTTGGATCCTGTTCTAGGTCCCTTCGATGAGCATATATCCACAATATCAGAAGCAAGCAGACTGTCGTTAGTTATTATGTTGAGTTTATTATATTTAATCTCATATTGCTTAGGGACAAACTATTTTGCAATTCTTAATCTATTAACAAGAGTTGTCAAGAGAGGGTCAGAATATCCTCTCTGGTTACTGTTTTCAACATGAAAACATGATACCAGAGCCACACAAAACCTTAGCCTCTACACAACCCTAGGCCCTCACAAAACCTTTGTCTCCTCAAAACCCTAGTCCACAAAATCCTAGGCCCTCACAGAACCTTAGCTGCCCTCACAACCAAGAGGCAACCTGTCCCTCCCTTGTCATTGTTCACCGTGAACATTAACAGTGATAGTTGTTCACCGTAAGGGGTACCGAGATTACTAATCCCCGTTAACAGTGTTGAGTTTACTGTTTATCGTGAACAGTGTCTCAGTGGTTGTTTACTATGAGCAGTACTGTGGATCTTGTTAATGCTTCGGTTGATGATTTAAGATTGTCATCGTTCGTAGCAATAGTAGTCATCGACATATATGAACATTAACAGTGATAGTTGTTCACCGTAAGGGGTACCGAGATTACTATTCCCCGTTAACAGTGTTGAGTTTACTGTTTATCGTGAACAGAGTGGCTGTTTACTATGAGCAGTACTGTGGATCTAGTTAATGCTTCCGTTGATGATTTAAGATTGTCATCGTTCGTAGCAATAGTAGTCCTCGACATATATGCGCTCGCTGTCATCTCCATCACCCCAATTTTTCTTCGTCCCGACCTCCCTACTCAACTTGCTGTCATCTCCACCACCCCGATTTTTCTTCGTCCCCACCTCCCTACTCAACTTATCAAAATCTTGACTGCTATTAGCTGCATAAAGCGGGGAAAAAGAGAAAAAGAAGGGGAAAAAAAGAGAGAAATAGGAAAAAAAAAGTAAATAAGAAAAAATAGGATTTGATTGAATTAGAATTTGATTTATTGTGATTGGAATTGTATTTCATAGTGATTTGTTTTATTTTGATATTTGAAGTTGGAGTTGGACTTATGGATTGGTTAGAGCAACTCCAATGGGGCTGCAAAACTCCAATTTGCAGCCCCATGGAGCTCCAACCGGACTCCAATTTTTGGAGTCCGGCTGGAAAAACTCACCTTCGGCTGCATATTTGGAGATTTTGCTCCAAATATGCAGCCCCCTTCCAAACCACTATTCCCCCTAAAAATTTACAATAATACCCTTCTAACTAACTAGTTATTTTTAGATATTCAACTTAAAATCAACATAAGTTTATTTCTACTAATTATTTTTAAATAAAAATTTTACAGTTAGAAATGTTTTGTCGATACCTTCAAAATGAGACTAATATTGAATAATATTAATTGAAATATAAAATTTCAAGAACCAAGTAATTAAAAATGAAAAATTCATTATTTCATTAGTAAAAAAAGTTACATAGCTTCATTTCCATGTATTTCCCACAAATGTTCAATCAATGCATTTCGAAGTGCAAAATGAGCTTCTTTGTTTTTCAACCTCTTATGTCGAGCATGAAACCGTTGGAATCGTTCAGTTTCCGTTATCTCCATATTTTCAGCATTCGGAATTGATTGTGGAGTTGAAATGACAACATCTTCTTGCTCGTCGCGTTCATCTTCGACAATCATATTGTGCATTATAATACAAGCAGTCATGATATCATGCAGAGTTCGTTTATCCCAAAAACGGGCTGGCCCCTTGATGATAGCAAATCGTGATTGGAGAACACCGAATGCCCGCTCAACATCTTTTCGACATGCTTCTTGCATCATTGCAAAATATTGTTTCTTTTTATCATCGGAATTAGAAATGGTTTGAACAAGTGTTGGCCATTTCGGATATATGCCATCGGCCAAATAATAACCGACATCATAATTTTTTCCTTGAATTGTGTAATGAGCAGGAGGAGCAATACCTTGTGATAGATTGTCGAACAAATTAGACGACTGCAATACATTAGTATCGTTATTGGATCCTGGTAAGACAAAGTATTCATGCCATATCCATAGATCATATGATGCTACTGCCTCAAGAATAATGGTTGGACCTCCATGACGACCTGAGTATTGTCCTGCCCATGCTGTTGGACAATTTTTCCATTGCCAATGCATACGAAGAAGACCAAGTTTTATGCGCCACGTGGCTCGAAATTTCTCAAGATCCAGTCATGGGTTCTAATCAAAAGAAGGACAAGCTGTGGGAACGAATTTCTGCTTTATTTCATGAAAGGATTTCCAATATTTGTAATGCTCAAAGGACTCCAAAGTCTCTTTCATGCCGAATGCAATTAATTATGAAGGCCATCAGTAAATTTCGAGGATGTATTCGACAAGTCGAGCGCTTAAATCCAAGCGGTGCTTCTGAGCTTGACATTGTAAGTATTTTGAATAACATAAATCTTGATTATCATCTACTATCATGTTATTAATAAATGTTTCTTCCTCTCTTGTGGTAGATTAAACGTGCTAGGATAATATTTGCAGAAGATCCAGAAGAGAGAAAGGGGTTTCTATTTGATCATGTTTGGTCAATTTTAAAAGATGCAGAGAAATGGGCAAATATAAGTGTCAGATCGCCTGCAACTTCCAAAACTTCAAAGTCCCGCTCATCTCAGGGATCAGATTCAAGTTCTCCTGTCGTCGACTTAAATGACGATAATGAGGAATATACTCATAATGACGAAGATATGATAACAAGTCGACCGACAGGAAGGAAGAAAGAGAAGATGAGGAGGCGACAAGCAACTGAATCCAACCTCGACTTGGAAACTCTCAATAAAAGCAATTAAGAAATTGTCGATATTTAAAAAAAAAGTCATGGAGAACGAGAAAATGATAGAATAACAATGCACCAGATTATGATGTTAAGGGCCGAAAACGAAAAGAAAAAATTAGATATTCAAAGGGAACGCCAGGAAAGTAAGATTATGTTGATTAATCTTGATACTATTACTGATCCTTCGGAACGCGAGTATTTTCGAATTAAAAAACAAGAGATTTTAAATAGAAACACAACCGGAGGTTCTTCATCTGATATTCCTAATCCTGAATATAGTTATGCAGGAAGTCAATACGGAATACCTGACTACAGAAGCGGTGGATATGGAGGAAATGGCCTGCCCGATTTTTAGTTTTTTTCATGTACTTTATTTTCATGTACTTTCTTTTTCTATGTAATGCCGCTGAATGTAATATATAAAATTTCATCATTCGGAGTAACTGTGAAGGTTGTTCCAAATATTATGTTATATTTTCTGCTTTTAAAATTTAAAGGCGCTTATTTATGTCTTATTATCAATTTATTAAAGATAATTACTTTTATTTAAATAATGAGTATATTATATATTATACTTTTAGTATTAATTTATAATATATTTTATATTTTAAATTAATTCATATAATTTTTTAACATTTTATATTTTTTATATTTTCAAATCTATTTAAAGTATTAATAAAAGAAATCAATTAAAAATGCAAATAGAGCTTCATATAGAGGAGATGGTTGGAGTTACACCCCTCTAAAAAAGCATATGCCTAAGAATATGCTTTGGGGAGGCTGCATTTTGCAGCCTCCCCATTGGAGTTGCTCTTAGCTTGCTTGAATATGGAGGGGAAGTGCTTGGTGTTTGTTTGGTTTGAAAGAGTGGTAGGGTGGTGACAGATTTGACATACTTTGTGATTGATATAGCAGAAAACTAGTCTGTTTAGTTTGGGTTTTGGAGATTGATTTGGTGGAGATTGTTCCGTTGGTTTGCTTTGATATTTTGTTTAGTGAAAATTGTTTAGTTAGTTTATTTTCGAAAAGATCGTTCTCTCATTTCATTTG